TGTTCTACCAGTCAACTGTGACACAGAAAAAGCCAAGCAGATGAAGCCTGTGAAAAGTTAAATATTCTCTTTCATCTCCTATCACTTCTTGTTGTGGTCAGTGAAGCATGCACAGGGGCCACAGGTTCAGACTTTACACCACAGTAAGAATGTTAACTGTCCCTGTAAAACCACTGCACAAATATCCATTAAAAAATGACTGTCAAGAGCCTGGGCTTGCTGTGCTTCATTTTCCACTTTTCTGCTTTCTCTCCCTCTTTGTGTTTCTCCAACCCTCTTATTGCATTTCTTAGCCTGGTTTTGGCTTTTAAGATTAACTTCCCCACAGCCTTTCACCCACTGCAACAGCTAGTTGCCAGAGGCATGAGATGAGTCACCATGAGTTTGGGCAAAATAACAAAAAGGCCTTAGACTGAGTATGTTTCCACCTTCCCAACACTGTGCCAAGCTATCTACAAACTTAAAGAATTTTACAGTTTCATACCCTTATTTCACAACTGAACAGTTAACAGTCACCTATTTGGAATCTGTTTGCTCGACTTTAAGCAAAACAAAATACTGCAGGATCTAAACACACTGAGGAGTTTGCTTGGTAACTGTGAGGCACAGAAGGCTGTGTCATATGGGCCTAATTCTCCACTTGTTACTCCTATAGGGACTCAGCAAAGTCACCATTATGAACCAGAGACTCTCTCTCCAATTAAGAATTTACATACAGCGTACTTTAATTTCTAGGAATAAGGTTTCTTTTCTGTTGGCCACCAGCAAGATAAAAATCCTAAAGCTGAGCAAAGTTCCATGACTTTAGACATATTTTTTAGTGCTTTGGCCAGTCTGTAAATCACGTGCCCAAAGAACTGTCGTTCCTCCTATTTTAAGTACTTCTGGAAGCCACTGAAACAGAGGCAATTTCATGCTCTTATATGACATAGCCATATCCCTACACCTGCATCTGATTTTCATTGTGGGTTTGTTCTGCTTGAACTAGATGGTTAAATAAAGAATAAGCAAGGGAACCCCCTCAGAATTCTTTACATAACTGTCTTACATGGGAAGACAAAGGTTTTGCTGAGCTATCTTATTGGTAAAACCATACCACGCCAAAATCCTCAAAGGAGATGAAACTCTCATAATGGAGTTAAACCATTGTTCCAAACATTGCAAGATACACCAGAAAAGCACCTTTTTTTCAGAACTTTCTGGATGGTTTAAGAGCAATTGTACAAGGCTGTCTGCAGTGCAGCCACAGCTGTGCTGGCATGGGACAGGACTTTCTTCATGCACAGCTCCAGTAGCTGTGCCATAAACTCTGGACTGTGGTCTTCATGATTGTTGCATTTTGAATTACCATATTTTTAAACCTATTTGCACGTTTTCCCCACATTAATATGTCATTTTCATAATTCATTTCTAGCTAACACTCATCCCAGTCTTTGATGGCTTCCTGGGGTTTCAGCCAAGTCTCCTGTGGAAGGACCCTGCCCAGCCTGACCCTCACCAGGCTGACACACACTGCTCCTGGCTGCCACCAGAAGTGAATCCACTGATTTGTAGCACTTGTGTGTTGGTGTTTCCCTCTGCACTTCCACAAGCACACGTGGTGAAGAGACAGAGCCCAGCAGGAACCCAGCGTGGTCACTGCCCACATGGGCACCATCTGCCAGAGCCCAGCACTGCAGTGAGCTCTGCCTCTGGGGAGTTCATCTCCACAAAGAAGCCCAGCTGCATTCTGCTGCTGGTTCACTGGCCTCCTGATTGTACATAAGTGCTGTTTACAGTAATCTCCAAATGGTGAAAAACAGCAATTTGGTGAAAGACACTTAGAACCTGTGACACCATAATGGTTGGACTAAATTATCCCAGAGATCTTTCCCAGGCTAAACAATCCCATTGTGAGAGGTCCTGCCTTTGGCTGTCATCATTCCAAGCACAGCAGCAGTATGGTAGCTACAAGGCCTGACAGGAAAACCCAAGTTACATGACTCACAAAATATAACCCTCCTCCAAGTCTTTGGCCAATTTTAGTTTTTCTGTTAACAACATAAAAGCAGTCAAGTTTCTCACAAAGCTGTAAATAGTGAGTACACTCTGGTTAAGCACAGCCAGTACTTTAAAATTCTTCCAAATTATTCTTTTTCTTAGATGTGATCCAACATCAATTTTAGACAAAGTTCTGAACAGAAGCAAAAGACCAGGAATTGTTACAAGCTGCACAAAATCCTACCAAATTGCGGCTGAAGTGTGCAACTAAATTCCAGAAAGAACAACTACCAGGTGAAATGTAGGAAGAAGCTAAAATGCAAGAAATAATGAATTCACAACTATTTACTATATGGCTATAGCTTACAAGCAGCCCATTTCATATGTGAGTCTAGGCATTGCTGTTAAAATGACCTACTACAGCTATCAATTTTAACAAGGATATTTTTTTTATACATATATAAATATTTTGCTTCAGAAATGTTTCAAATTCCACTTAACTCTTATAGCAAAAAAAAAAAAAACCCTAACAACCTTGGAGGTCCCTGCTCTTACAATCTTTAACATACAGAGCACACCCTCATTTTCTTAAATCCAGCAGTCTCAAAGGTGCTGCTGCAGTAGTGTCTACACAAACAGTTGTATAACATAGCACACAACCAAATGAGGCACCTAAGAGTGAAAATAAAATTAAAGAATCATGATTTCCAGAAACACCACTGGTGACTGCTGAATCTGCAAATTATACATGCTACCTGGTAACTTTGAAACATTAAATAATAGCAACCCAATTTAGACTTCACTTTCTAGATATAATACTAGAGTTAGTTCACAAATAACATGACTAGAAGCTGAGCTACCAAGCAGGTGTGAAATCTTCTATTCTGATCCAACCATTCGTGTTAAGGAGAACCCAGACTTCCATGCAGTTATTTCCAATTTAAGTCATTCACAGCAGATGTCTGTATTCCCTGCATGGCTAATACAATCTACACATCAAAACAGCACTCCCACCACTGATCACCTGGTCTGTGCAGCTATCACAAAAGGTAATATTCCCTGTGAGGCAGAAGCTGTATTACCTGGGCCTCTCTGCACTCTGACATACAAAGGAAACACTTGTCAAAGAGGCAAAGCACTGAAGCACCTCACATCAGCCTAGCGTGGCTCTGGGTTCTGGGGGAGCAGCAGCTGCCCCTGCAGCCTGGCCCAGCTCTGGGCTGTGAAACAGGACTGGATGCTGGGCTCCAAGGGTTCAGGAGGGCACAGATGCTCATTGGGCAGAGGGAATGGACAGCTGTGCTGGAGGGTGAGATCCCTTCAGGCAAGAGGGGCATAGCCTTTGGCTAAAGCCTTGGAAAGGCACAGGTTCTTGTGTGAGTTATCTGCATGCTTGTACCAAGCAGTCTGCTGTCCAACAGAAGCCCACCTCTTATTAATCAAAGGATAATGATGCTAGCATAGCAAATAAGCAGCACCAAAATCCTCAAGGCCTGCCCCTGGATCACTAGATGTCTGTCTCTATATCCATTAAATCAACTAATTAAAGTAACACAATTTGGAATCCTTATTGTAACTTGAAGACAATCAACTAAAAAATCAAACACATTTTGGTTGAACTCTAAAAGTAATGGGCTCATCAGCCTCCCATTCATTTCAGATGGATGCATTTCATTTTGTGCCAGCAAGAATGTTTAACTGGGACCTCCTACAGACCAGGAAAAAACAGAAAAGTGACCCTCAATGGCACTTTTAGAAAGAAGAGAACATTTTCTCCTTCCCATGGAAGGAATCTCTGGAGGCAGGATGATGAAGGCAAGCCTAACGTCACAAAAAGCTTTAGCTATTTTAAAAGCCAAAAGCAACTTTAAAGACTGTAACTCATTGGTAGATACAGTGACATGAGAATATTTCTGGGATACATGGATGATGCTGTCCAAATTCAGAGAGGTAAAGGCACTGTGAAAACAAAATAGAGGAAAAAACACCTTATTGAGTAAAGGTAAAAGTTACAAATGAGCTCTTTTCCAAGTACCTAGTAATCCAAGCAATTAGTACTAAACAACACTCAACCTGATGACAATGGAACTAGGTTGTTAAAGGACTATGAAACCCTGAAGTCTGCTGTAGGGGTATCCATTATAAATACCTGGGGACTTAAGGTAAAGGAAAAGAAGGATAAAGGGAAAGGAAAGGTCAGGAAAAGGCAGATTCATTTATTGTATACTATGCCTTGGCATATTCAGGTATGAGATCTAACTTCTTGAATTATAGCCAGAAAGCTGCTGACATGGACAGCCATGCCACATCCCACCAGTGTGCACTGTCCCAAAAATCACAATAGCCATCCCATAAAGCTAACTCACCCTGCTCAAAAGCAAGATGATCGCCCCACTAATTTCAATGTTACCGAAAACAGAGCAATTGCCTCAAAACACACCGTTAAGGTGCTGGTAAACATTCCTGCGACCCAGGACAGCCTTGAGCAGCCAAGCCATCCTGCGCAGGGCCCAGTATCAGTGCAGCAAACCAACGGCACCAGCCTGCGGTGTTGTAAAGGAATGTAGAACTAAATTATTGCAATAGAGACTTGGCGAAATCTGGAACAATAAACCCCAAACTCGCCCGTTACAACCCCTTGTAGAAAGTAGCAGATGCTGGTGTGTGAGACAGGGACACAGCCATGAGGCCCGGGAGGATGAAGGGCACGGGCGAGGCAGGCAGGGGCTGAACCCCTGTCCGAGAGGCGTGAAAGCAGGGGTGAGATTACAGAAACAGCACAAATGCGGCGACTGCCCGGGGCCGTAACGGCACAGCGGAGCGGGGCACGGCAAGCACGGGCCGCCGGACGCGCCGTGCACGGAGCGGGCACCGCTCTGCCCCGCAGCCCCGACCCCTCCGGGCTGCGCCGGGTCCGCTCGCCGGGCAGGCAGCGCAGCGCCGCGCCCCGAGCCGCGGGAGCCGCGTCCGGCCGGCCCCGGCCCCGGCCCCGGCCGGAAGGCGCCGCCGCCGCTACTCACCGATCCCGGCCGCTCCCGGCCTCCGGCGGGGCACCGGGGCGGCCGCACGGACGTCGGGCCCCGCCGCGCCGCGGCCCCGCGCGATCCGAGCGGGCAGGGCAGGGTCCGGCACCGCCCGCTCCGCACTGCCACCGGGCCGAGCCGGGCTGGACCGGCCCCCGCAGCACTCCCGGGACTGCCCGCGCCCATCCCCACCGGCCGAGCGGCCCCGGGCAGCGGGCAGCGGGCACCGAGCATCGCTCCCGGCGCCGGCCGCAGCCCCGGCCCCGCTCCCCCCGGCCGCGGGGGCGGTGCCGGCCGCGCCCCTCCTCCCCCCGCCCCCGGCGCGGCAGCGCAGGGCTGGGCTGGGCCGCGCCGCCGCCGCCGCAGCGCTCGGTCCGCTCCGCCGCCGCACCGCCGGGACCGCCGCCCGCCCCGCGCCCCCGGCCCGCCCGCTGCCCGCTCGCCCTCGCCCGCCGCCCCGCGACCATGGCCGGCTGGCAGAGCTACGTGGACAACCTGATGTGCGATGGCTGCTGCCAGGAGGCCGCCATTGTGGGCTACTGCGACGCCAAGTACGTCTGGGCAGCCACGGCCGGCGGCATCTTCCAGAGCATCACGGTGAGCGGGGCCGGCGGGAGCGCGGCCGGCGGGAGCGGGGCTGGGAGCGGCGCCCACGGGCCGCGGCCGGGGGACGGGGGCACCTTGCGGGCGAGGGGCGCGGGCCCGGCCGCCCGCGCCGCCTTTTTGTGCGCGGTGGGAGCGGCGCGGGGCCGGTGCCGCGGGCGGGGGGTGCGGGCGGCGGGCCCGGCGCGGCGCGGGCGGCGGAGCGGGGCGGCTCGGACGGCGCCGCGCCGCCGGCTCCATGTTTTCTCCGCCAAGATGGCGCTCTGCCATTGATGCTCCCCCGCCCTGCCCGCCCGCGCCCCCGGCCCGCCCGGCCCCGCCGCCCCGCGAGCAGCGCCGAGCGCGGCCGCCGCCGCCGCGGCTCCCCCGGCCGCACGCGGGCCTGCCCCGGGCGCGGCGGGCCCGGTCCCGGCCGAGGCGGAGCGGGGCCGCCTGGGCCGCGGTCGGGGGGCCGGGCCCGCCGTGACGCTGCACTTTGCGGCCGCCGCGGTGCAGCAGGGCCCGCGCCGCGCCCCCGGCTCCGGGCCCGGGGCCCTTCCCGAGGGGGAGGCGGAGGGGCCGCGGCGGCGGCAGCAGCCCGGGCCCGGCGGGCGGGCCGGAGCCGGGCTGGTGCCGCCGCTGCGGACAGGCCCCGGGCTGATCTCCCGGGACAGGTGCGGACAGAGCCCGCGCCAGCCCGGGGCCAGGCTCCAGCAGGCGCCCTGCGCCGCTTAACGGGCTCGGGCCCGGAATCGCCGCGACAGAGGCTCCCCCGCGCGCAGCGGCCGCGGAGCAGCGCAGACTGCGCCTAACAAAGCCCTGTGTTCTGGAGCACTTCCTGCGGGCAGCGAGGGGAAATCACGGCCTCGGCCTCTCCGCATGAGACAGGAGCGGTTCTAAACAGAAATTACGGCAATATACCCTTCCGTGCTAACTCTGAACTCTTTCCTTTGACAGCCAGGAGAAATAGATATGATTGTAGGAAAAGACCGAGAGGGTTTCTTCACCAATGGTCTGACCCTTGGTGCAAAGAAGTGCTCTGTGATCAGAGATAGCCTGTATGTCGATGGTGACTGCACAATGGACATCAGGACAAAGAGTCAAGGTGGTGAGCCGACATATAATGTTGCTGTAGGCAGAGCTGGACGAGGTAAGCATCCTTTTCTCTACCTTCAGGTAGCTAAATTAGGAATATGACCCTAAGCATAGACTCCAGCTATTAGAAAAACCAAACTACTGTATTTGATGGCTGATTTTGGGAAATGGTGCAAGGGAGTGGATGGCAGTGCTCTAGCTGAGTTCTGACTGAGAATTACACACATCCCTCTTCCCACCTGCATCCCAGCCCAGCACCAGGCTGTGCAGTAGTGAACAGGTCTGTGACAAGCAGGAAAAAGCAGGCTGCAGCTCCAAGCAGGCTTAGCTGGTATTCCATCACTTCATACCTGAAGCTCAGGAGGGGTCTGTTAATGACAGCCAGTGACTACAAGCTTTCTCATTGTGAGTTGCTTGATGGGAAGTTTATTCTGCAAAGATGTGAATCTCTTGTAGGAGCTGCTCCTACTTAAAAAGTTCTACACAAACTCTTCTTGCATTTCCTATTGAGCCTGCTGAAGTCTGTCCAGGCAGAAAAAGCCTGTCCAGTTTGGTACCACTGAGAAATGTTCTTCATTCTCAGACACTTGCTCCTTTCACTCTCCATTTAACTTCCAGTAAAACCTATTATGGGGCAGCCACCCATCTGGGATATGAAATACTCTCTGGAAGTGGTGTGCCTTATGTTGGGAACACCTGGGCTAGCGTTTTTGGGCTGGCTGTGGAACAGGTTCCCGAGTGACAGGACTTTGGGTAATAGGTGGAAAACCAAAGGCAGAGCAGATGTCTGTAGGCTAAAGCCCAGGGCAGGCATACAGGAAGAGGGTTGGCAGCACTGAAGTGAAACAAGCAGAGTTCTGACTTGTGAAATGACATGAGAACTGTCTTAAGCTTTTATCAGCAAATTGCTATGGAGATAGACTCGTAGAGTCATTAAGGTTGGAAAAGCCCTCCAAGATCAGAGAGTCCAGCCCTTCTTCCGCTGCGCCCAAGGCCACCACTGACCCGTGTCCTCAAGTGCCACAACCACAGGACTTTTAAATCCCTCCAGGACTGGGGACTCAACCACTGCCCAGGGCAGCTGTGCCGGGGCTGGACAACCCTTTTGGTGAAGAAGTTTTCCTGATACCCAAACTAAACCTTCCATGGTACAACCTCAGGCCCTAGTGTATGATCATGTGTAGGTAGACTGACTGCAGCATTCCCAGCTTGGTGAACAGTCCCTGGCCTGTGGCAGCCCAGTGCTCATTGTGTCCCACTCCCTGTCAGGGGATATCTGATGGCAGCTCACAGTGGCAGTTGCTGGTGAGCCTCCAGTGTTCCTTTCACCAGATAACCTGGGGCACCTTGCTGGGGGAGTGAGGAGAGCCTCAGCATGACAATTGTCCCTGTGTTTTGTCTTGTGTAAAAAGTGTGGTTTATAGTTGTGTTACTGCATGGAAAGTCTCAGCCCAACTCACTCTTTGGGGTTTTTTACCAGCATCAGGGAAGTTACTCTGGTTCCAGATAATAGGAATTTTCTTTTGCCACACTCCAGTCATGCTTGCACACACAGTGCACCCCTGCTCCCACAGGTGTTTAAACTGCCGCTGGGATTTCCTTGCTGGGTGATGACTGATGGTGAGAGGCACCGTAAAGCTGGTGGCATTTTTCTTAGCAGTGAACTCTTAAAACTTCCATAGCTAGATAAAATCCCTGAGGATAGCTTGTACCTTCTCCCAGCCCTATCTACATCTGTGTTTTAACAAAACTGTTAAATTAGCTTAATATCCAAATACTAAATCTTGAATTTGAGGGTGTTTACTGCACTGCCTAAAACTTGAATTATTTCCATGTCTAATACACTCTTTTTAAAACTTTTTTTCTTTTCTCTTTCAGTCTTGGTCTTTGTAATGGGCAAAGAAGGGGTCCATGGAGGCGGATTGAATAAGAAGGCATACTCAATGGCAAAATACTTGAGAGACTCTGGGTTCTAGTTGTTAGGCAGACTGTTAAGTATTAGGGGAAGATTGCTATTAAACTTTCCTGGCGGTGAGCTTTAAACCTTACATTCTGGAAACTTTACTAGCAATGCAGGGTGATGGGGTATGAACCTGTGTCTCCTTTGTATCCCTTTGTTGGTGGGGAAAGGTGTTGTTTTTTTTTTTTTTTTCCCTTTAATTCTTTTCATTTCTGTTTTGTTTCCTTGTGTACTCCAGCATTGGTTATAGTCATGGGAAAGGAAAGTGTCCATGGAGGGACACTCAACAAGAAAGCATATGAACTGGCTTTATACCTGAGGAGGTCTGATGTCTGAGCAGCCTCTCCCCATCCACCTAGCAGCTGTCTGCACTACCACCCGCTTGTACTCAGTGCTACCAGACTGTAGATGGTAGTTTGTGGTTTTTTTATTTACCCATTTCCTACTGTCATAACTCCAGTTCCCCCTTGTTCATCTCTGTAACCACTGTAGGTAACCGAGCCCATCTGGCACCACCATGACGATGATATGCATGATAACTTGAAACTTGGGAGGGAACATGCCAAGTGTAGGCTCTGCTTTGTCTTAGCAATTAGTATGATATTGACAGCTAAACCAACTGAGATACTAAACAAGGTGCCGATTGTACAATCTAATTTGATCAATGCCTCTTCAGCACTTTGAGCAAATCACAGCTCACTAGTCTTCCTTTCACAGAGCACGGTTGGGAGGAAAAAAGTGTGTGCATATCTTCATTTCTGTCCCTCTCTTTGTTTCTGTTTTTTAAACCCATGTGTTTGCTTACACCCATTTTTATAGTGCCTGGTTTGTTTAACCAATTTGCCACTCAGAAGCTATTAATGTCACATTAGTTTTGTCATTGCACTTCACTGTAGGCTTAACTCTTACTTTTTCTTGATGTTGTGAAGGTTGTACTGCTTAACAAGTGCAATCACAAAACTATGAAAGGGTACAGATGTACTTCCTCCCATGACCTTAAATCACCATCCTAAGGACTTCCCAGACATTCCATCATTACAATAGCTCAGGCACTTTATTTTTTTTGCCAGCTCCTGTTCTGTAGTTGACTTGTGCAAGGCTGCCACTGTGGCCATTAGCTAGCCTGGTATAACCAGCTGGAGTGTGTCTGGTTTCAGTTTCTCATAGGACCAATTTAATTTGCAGCTTGGGGGTCGGGGGGTGGGCATGGTGTATTTGTTTTTTAATATGAAACTGCAATGTCATTGTGGAAAACTGCCACCTTCAGCTACCCTGGAGCTCTGACTGGCTTCAGTCTTTCTGCCAGATCACTCAATGGTGCAGAGTTTGGCTGCTCTGAAGCCACTGTCTGGATGAAGGTCGGTAGTTTGTAAGCTAAACTGTCAAAATACCATTTCAAATTTAAAAATTTTCATCTGGCCTGTCACACCCTCGCTGCAGAAATGATGGAGTGAGCTGCCTTGTGCACGAGTCATCTGAAAATGTCTGTAACCAAACTCAGTTCAGGCACGGTTCTGACCTGTATGTCCATTGCAAGAACTGCAGAACTCTGTATACTAAAGAATAAATGGGAGATGGTAGTGGTTGGAATAACTGA